CAGATGCTGCTCACCCTTCCCTGGAGGGGATTTTCTCACAGACCTCTCTGCCACTGATTGGTCCTTGGCAGAAAAAGTTCAAAGAATCCTGAGCAGTTTGTCAATGAAACAGAAAAACCCTAGAAAAATACCCATATATAGTAAACTTAAAAAAAAAAGAAAAAAGTCTTAGCATAAGGACACAGGATTGCAAATGACTAAAGGAATATTTGGTGATAAATGGGCATTCAAGTTGTGCAACAAAATAAGACCTGTTCCTGGAATTAACCCATAGCATCCTGAGCAAAGATTTCCATCTGTGGTGCCATACTGACATTTCACTAGGAAATATGCTACCCTCTTGGATAATCCAGGCTGTTTTTCCCTGCTTTTGTGCTATGAATGTGGGGGTAACTAATACATAATACATACATGGTTCTGCTTTGCAGCAAGTTAGCAGCTCAAATAGGTAATCATTGGAAGAAGTCCAATGCTGTTGCATTTAGCATCAGAAAAAACTACAGTCAGTGTCGAAGCCATAAAGGCAGGCTGCCTGCTTCTCCTGATAGCAGTCAGGTCGTGTTTACTGCTTATTAATTATCCCAGAGTAGAAGAATGAATTTCTGTGAGACATTTCAGAATTCCAGCCCCAGGAGGTTATTAGTAAAAATAAAGGTGAAATTCAGAAATAGCAGTCTTCGTTGCCTAAGTTTTAAACCAATCTTTTGTATGTGTGCTGCTTTCTACACCTACATTAGAAATCTAGCTTCTCTTTTTAGTTTCTTTCTTGAAATGGTAAATATAATTTTTGTTTTAGACGTCATTTTATGTCACTGCACATTAGCTTTATACTGCTGTTTATATTTATCATATAACTATGACATGTCTGGAGCAGTCAGTTTTCTATTGTTCCTTTGTAGATCTGTGCCCATATTATTCACAGCATTATTCCTGTCATACTTGTTTGCTTCTGACACTGGAATTTCTATTTGGGGTTACTTAGAGTTCAACAGTAAATGGTGTTTTTCCTCCAAAGTTACACCTTTTCTGCATGATCAAATTTGACCTCTTCCTTGTGTGCACTCACTTTTACTGTCCTTTCTCATGACCTCAAATATTTTATTGTTCTCAAAGTTCCAATTTTAAGATGCTTTTGAAAAATCATGGCAGTGTTACACAGTTCTAAGGTTTTAGGAGATACACGTGTATACATAGTTTAATGGTATCTTGTTACTTGACTTTTACAACCAATTTATAAAAAAAACTCAATCAAGAGCATCCTTCCAAACAAAAATCTTGAGAGAAGTGATGGGACCAGAGTAAGGTGAAAATCTGGCTGCTGTCTGTTAGGACTGTCTTTGTTAAAGCAGTAAACTTGCCTCAGTCTTTGTGGCTGATTAGAGCTATTGTGCCCACTCTGGGAGGGGGTTTCTCAAGGAACTGAAGCCCTGAAGGACTGCACAGCCCCTTCTGGGTCCAGACTTGAATCTGGAAAACGTCAGGAAATCCCAACGCTGTGATTGCTGAAACCAAGAGCCAACAAGGGACCAACAGTGATTTCTAAGTGGTTTTCATGAGGAGTCCCAGCAAGCAGAACCATGCTGAAAAGAGCAGTGGTAATTAACTGATACATCTGCACAGTCTAGTACAGCACCTACTCAGAGTACTTGAGTCCATTCCATGAAGATACCATGACCTTATTCATGAATAAGGGAACATCTGCTTTGCTTTTGCATTGTTTTTCCTCTCCCTCAGTGTCATGTCACAGGAAAGCTGTTTCTCCACTCAGGCTTCCATGGCAGGCTGGTATTCCCACATATACAGCACTTATAAATATAAGATTTTTCAGCAAACCAGTTTGTATCCAGCACATGACTCAATTGCAAGTGATCTTCCTTTAACTTGCAGTCCAGGTCATCAGCTTCTCATGTGAGCACAGTTACTTGAAATATTTCACATCATAGCAAGGTTGTAAGGTCTTAAGTAAATGTATTAAGCAAATTATTAAAACATAAAATCAAAATAGAACAAACATTTAGCTACTAGCTGAAAAGTATTGATATGTGATTTAATTTAAAAGTGGTCAGTCTCATGGAAGACTTTAAGTGGACATGTCTGGAAAGTTGAAACCTTTTGGTGTTCTGTACAATCTATGAAACAGAGAAGCAGAACTTTTTGCTTGCTTATACTTAAAAGGTATTTCATATTCATCTCCTTGTTGTGTTGATCTGCATAATTACAATATCAAAAGTGAACTATGCTTGCTTGCTTTCCTTCCCCTGATTTTAACATCTTGATAGCATGTTAAGAAAGAAATTAAATATTCTAATATGGATGAGTTGGGATCATCATGAGGCTTGGCCATCAAAGAAATAATGAAGAAATTCTACTATACAGGTGACTGAGCACTTGGATAGATTGCCCAGAGGTTATGGAGTCTTCCTCACTGGAGCTATTCAAGAACTATCAGGATGCAATCCTGTGCCATGTGCTCAGGGATGACTCTGCTTGAGCAGGGAGGTTGGACTAGATGACACACAGTGGGCCCTCCTAACCTGTCCCATTCTGTGTTACAGTAGTGTTCAAATTGGTTTCATAGGAAAAAAAAAAGTTTATACATTTTGTGTGGTCATAGGTACAAGGAAATTAGAGTACATGTTGTATTTGGGTCACCCCCAGACCAAGGAAGGAATGATCAATCTCACTCCATGTTCTCAGAAGGCTAATTTATTGTTTTATGATACTATATTATATTAAAGAATACTATACTAAACTATACTAAAGAATACAGAAAGGATACTTACAGAAGGCTAAAAAGATAATAATGAAAACTTGTGCCTTTCTCCAGAGTCCTGACACAGCTTGGCCCCAATTGGCCAATGAGTGAAAACAACTCACAGCAGAAACCAATGAAACAATCACCTGTGGGTGAACAACCTCCAAACACATTCCACATGAGCACAACACAGGAGAAGCAAATGAGATAATTAAAGTTTTCATTTTTCTCTGAGGCTTCTCAGCTTCCCAGGGGAACAATCCTGGGTGAAGGGATTTTTCAGAGAATGTGAATTTGAGAAGTACACAGGAATTTTCCACTATGCTGTGCACCATCCCCAAAATCTATATTCATAGCTGTTCTCAAGCATCACATGTGCTAAAAGTGCACCTTCAAAGTGCATTAGGGAAAACCTGGCATGCATCTGGGAGGCTGTCATCACTGTGTGCTGGTGTTGAACTGTGGCTCTCTGATAGAGAGAGGGCTCCAGGTAACATTTATTCATGAACTTCTCCACCCCTGCAAATCCTACTTGCTCTTCTGCTGTGTTTTGATTTTACCCCTTTACATTTGTCTTGTAGGGTCTTTATTTGAATGGTGCTTTTTGCTCAGTCTCAAACTAGGAAAAGTGAGCCATAAGTATGTAGAGGAAGATAATTTATTAGCAGTGTTCCCAAAACAATTGTCTTAGATTCACAGATATCAGTGCTTAAGTTTCATTAAATTGAATTTCTTGTTGTTTGGAAAATCCTATTTGGCAAGTTGCTGATGCTTGCTATTTCAGTAACTTACAGCTTTTTGAGAAGACAGCTGGGTTAATACATTATTGAATATTTTTAGAATCCTTTAATGCTGAGTTCACAGGATTCTCCAAGTGAAGTAGACTTAAAAGCTGAGAAGTTTTTGAAGAGAGTTTTACTTTGAAGTTTCTAAGGGTTGCTTCAGTTCTAGTGCCAGTAAAGCTTAGAACGTGTTCTGGAAGGCTATAAATAGCATCAGTAAAACAATGGATTTAATTTGGCAAGGCAAAGGAGGCCACAGCTTACAGTGGGTTCAAATGTGTGCTGTGGTTTCACAGAACTGGGTAGAAATGAGGCTTTTCAGGATAATTTTTCACTGAAGTAGCATGTTACCATGACTCAAATTTCTCTCGTGTATTAGGAGAAAAAAAATAATGGTGGTCTTTCAGATGTGTTTACTTGGATTTAAGATACATGAGAGAACTTCTGCCTGTGTTAGGCTAATATTCTTCACATTAGAAGCCCTCTTTGGTCTTTCTCCAGAATCAGGTCATGTTATTTTCAACTAAGTGTCTTTTTGTAAAAGGTAATACACTCTAATCAGTTTTTACTTTTTTTTTTTTTTTTTTGCTATTTTTATTTTATTTTTGTGTCTATTATTTTATTACATGAATTTTTATGTTATTATATTATTTCTGGGTTTTCCCCATTTTTGTAGTTAAATGATACCTCCATCATGTCTACTATCATGGCCTGCAGGTTGCTTTCTTCCAGGTTGCTCCAGAGCTGTCAAAAATAACATCACAAATTGTCCCTGAGGAATACTATCTTATTAGATAGATCAGTGTAAGCCAGTAACAAGCAGACAAGCACTGAAATTCCCTCTCTATTTAAACACTTCTCAAACAGTTAAATATCCAACAGAAGCAAAAACCACTGAGTATAAATGAAGTGACAGGGCTCACAGAGTCTGTGTTTAGCATCCCAGAGGTGTTGATGGCTACTACCTGATTCTCAGCTCTTCCAGGAACATTTTTCCACAGCAGGAGATGAGCTCCTATAGGAAAAGGTTGTTGGAAATGGAAAGCAATTCAGTGAGATTTGTCAGCTATTTATGCTCTTTAAGCCAAAACAAACCAGGTGTTTATTTTGCGGAGCCAGAGAAGAAAGGAATTGATGAATTATGGGCTGGCCTCGTGCAGGAGGATTAAACACTGGCACTAATTAATGGCCAGTTAGCACCATCTTGATCTCACTGGTTGTGAACTGGATGGGGGCCATAAATCCAGACTGCAAACAGGAGCAGCCTCAAGATGCTTCATTCCAGCTAAGTGGGATGGTGGCCCTCAGCTGCTGGGATGGTGTTTAATAGGTCAGAGTTTGGGATTTGCAGATCTGTCCCATTCCTGCTGGCTGTGCAGCTGCTCTGTACTGTAGATGATTGTTCTACTGTTGATAATTGTTGCTTCAGTAGCTTTTTACTGTGCTCTGTTTTCCCCTTGCAGGCGTTTGGCCAGTCCTTCTCCGTGCACCGCAAAGTGGCCGAAGATGGCGAAACGCGGGAAGAGACTCTTCTCCAGGAGTCTGCATCAAAGGAAGCCTACTACCTGGGCAAGATTTTGGAGATGCAGAACGAGCTCAAGCAGAGCAGGGCTGTGGTCACCAATGTTCAGGCAGAGAATGAGAGGCTCACTGCTATTGTCCAAGACTTGAAAGAGGTAAATGGGGCTGAATTTCTTTTGGGTATCATGGATAACGTGGCTCTGAGTAAACAAGATATTACAGGAAATGAAAATGCTCAACTCCCAGTCTGTGATATTCCCAGAAACCTTGTGGCCTGAGAAGGCTACAATTTAGAAAATACAACTTCTGTTGGTTTTAAAAAGCACCACCACCTTAAAAATATAATAAAACCCAATTCAAGAAGTTGTAATGCCTAAGCATCCTTAGCAATTTTGCATTGTATTTTATAGTACTGAATTTTACATAAACACATTTTCTGCACTCTTCTGATATTCCTGCATCTCTTCTCTTTCTCAGCATTTACATAATTTTGCAGGTATTCTGGACTGCCTAGAATTAAATGAAGCTTTTGCTGGTTTTCTTCTACTGTAAAGCAAAATTAAAATGCATGCTCATGTTTAGAAAATGGGTAACAGTAAGGAAGCCAGGTGTAGTTATTCACCATATGAGACATTGAATAATTTTGATGGAGAATTAAGTAATATTTAATAACTTGCCTTTTTTGGAATTCCCATTGGAATCTGGAAATTATGGAATGCAGCAGAACAGCTACATGCAGGGGAAGGCAGCACTTGGAAATGAGCCCACATCTTGCCTGCATTCCCTGGGAATGCTTAGACATAGGGATTCTCCCCACTGTCCAGCTGCTGAAGGAGATGTTTCCTATGTGAATCTGGAAAGTGATTACTTGATGCATTAATTCGTTAATATTAACAGTTACCATGTTTTCTGTAGCTGGATGGAATAGCATCCTTTTAGCCTACAGAAAGCCCTGGAACAGGGTATCCCTGGAACTGAGCCTTTACATCCACTGAACATTTTTATTGTACCACACTTGCCCATAATACAGATCAGGTTTCAGGAAGAAACGCATGCCAGCTGTTCACATATTCCAATTAAAATATGGGATTGTGATTGCTGTTGCAGTGGTTAACAAAAGAAAATCAAATCTATTTTTAATTATTTTTGATCTACTTGTCCTAAAATCCTGTCCTATAATCTTCTTGGTGGCAGGCCACCAGCTGCTGACAGCCCTACCTGTTTGGTTTATCTCACAGGCCCTGATGACTTGGGGTTCAGACACAAACGAACAGCCAAATTAGAACAAATGCACATTTGTCTTTGTACTCCATACTTTTCCTCTGGGACTCCTTCAAATGCAAATCTCCCTTCCATTTTCCATCATGGTTATTGATCTGCAGTTTGTTCAGGAGGCAGTTTCAGTACCTGTCCTCCCTGGAATATTGATTGTCCTCGTTTCCTTGGTGATAATAGTAACTCCTAATGTGAAGCCAGCTGCAATTATTTCCTGCTCTAATGCTAAATAGAATCAAGCCATAGTAGTTAATTAAAGTGCAATAAAGGAATTTACCTGAATAAAAATAAGGCTGATAAACTGATTGTTATTACTAAGATGATGTTGTACCCCAAGTATCAAGTCCTTGACTAAGTGGAACTTTCATTTGTGTTACTACAATCAATGTAGGAAGCATAAATGGAATTAGTGCAGTCAGTTGATTACACCACACGCTATTATGATTAATTACTTGAATAATAATAAGAGATAGTGGGTGATTGGTACCTACTTCAGTCTCTTTGTGATCTTTTCACACTGAATTATGCTGGTATTTCACCTTGTGCTCAAAGGAGTCTCACTTGTGCTCAGCCTGATATCCCTTGGTCCTGTGGCTGTGATATCCAAGTGCCTGCTGAAAGAACATGACCTTCTCCTGTAAGTGTTTATGAATTTGTCTGCTTGGTTCTGCCTCCTGCAAGCAGAAAAAAGCAGACTAAACTTACTCCAAATCTTGACAGCTACAAAGGTGAGGGAAAAAAGTATGAAGTGTCTGGTATGTTTTGGGGTAAAGCCAGAATTAGGTGCTGTGTGGGTGGATTGCTACAATGAGGAAGCAATTTTACTGCCTAAGGAGACAATCTGGAAATCTAATTAGAGAAAAAAATGAAAGAAAAAATATCATTTTTACGTGGGCCTCTGAGTGATGCAAAGATAGATGGGTAGATTCTGGACAGAAGTTACCTAATTGTATCCTGTCTTTTCCCCTCCCTGCTGTTTACCTCTTCCCCTCAAGAAAAACATGCTTTATGGCTGTTTTTTAGGCCTTAATGAGATATTTTATAAACTAAACAAACAAGCAAAAAATAATTGCTTTCACTTTCAGTCTAAATAGAAAGGTTTGAATAGCTGCTGTGTGGTTCTGGGAATAGTGTTTTTGCATGGATGACACAAATGTATGGTCGTTTCTCCATGCATTCATCCACTTAGGATACTGAAGACTGATAGGTGAGTTTTCAAAAAATGACCTCTGTTATTGGTATCACACTGCTAAATAATACACTCAGTGCTTCTCCACTTTCCAGCCTGTCCTGGGAGTTATCTGATGAATTCATTGTGCTCTCTGAATTTGCACAGAAATTCATAGTCCTATGAATGTGTATGAGCATTTTCTGAACCAGTGTTAGCGTTCAGAAACACATAATCATGAGAATGATTGTATGCAGGTGCTTTTATTGAAGAGCTCTGGGTGTCAGGGGTACAAACCCAAATCTGACTCCGACATGCGTTTGGGGTGAACATGTTTTTATATTCTATCGTTATATAACTTTCATGTTAATTATTAAACTTATGTTGTTCCATTGTATACATAGATTTCATTCAAGCATAGGCTCCCCGTGATCCCCCTCATGATTCTCATGAATCTCGTGATTCTTTTTATGATTAAACAATAATTATATTTAATTACTAAACAATCATCACATCTAACAATTATATCATTTATCATATACTGCTTACGCAGGTGCAATTTCACATGATCTGGCAAACACAAAGCCTAACATTTTCAGAGTCTATTTTTAACATTATTCCAGGGCCCAGCTAAGTCTAGCTTCTTTCTAATTCCCTGAATTTTATGATTTTAAAACCTTTTACTATCACCAGCAGAATACACTCCCATGAATGCTGATGGCTTTTAGCAATCCTGGGAATTCTATAGCCCTGGAGTTTAAAAATTCATACCTTTTAGCAAGTATCTGCCCTGCAGTCACAGCTGATGTCTGCAGGGCAGCTTGACCTGGATCTCCCTTGCTATAAAAGGGAATGTATCAGGCTCAGGTCTCTGGAGAATTATGCACCTCAGACTGCAAAAACAAACAAGCTGATTTCAGTACCCATATCTTGGAAAAGAAGTTTTCTGAGAACTTGATGACATTAATCCCCTGATGGGCATTAATGAACCAGGAATCTCTGAACATAGATAGCTTTCTACTTCATGTTAAAATGATTAAAGGAATAAAACACCACTAGCTTTATTTTTGATGTAATAAAAATCCCTAGAGTGTTGCATAGGAATCTTATTAACTATCACCTAACTAAATAAAATATACATTTTGAAAAGCTGGTAGATTTTTTTCTCTCACCAGGGCCTCGGATAGGGAAGGTAGGCTGTTTAATTTGAACCAAAACTATACAGATTTTAAAACTGAGACCAGAAGGATAATATTTTGCAGTCAGAGACTAGATTTACAAAATCTGCATGTTAGACATCACACAGTTTATGGTGGTTGGCCTCTCTGTATGGAGAGATCATTATGGTTATTAGATCATACAACCTTCTCTAACAGTGTATAAATTGTCCTCATTTATTATAAATATTTAAAAAATACTTTTATTTAAAAAAAAATCTTTTAAAAAGACAATTTTTATCCTTTTCTAATTTTCTGGAGTCTGTTTTTTGCCTATTTAAAAGCACTGTTCACTTACAGTTGGGAGATGAGTAACTTTTTCTCATTTGTACCAGTAGAGAAAATCCCTTCTCATGATAACCATAAGTATTTTATTGGTGTAGAGAGATGTAATCACCACCTTGAGAAGCTGATAACTGACAGAGGTGGTTATGAAAGGCCGGATGACCCAGCTCAGAAGCTGGAGAAAGTTTTCCATGCCCACAGACAGGAAATCTCCATTTAGAGGTGATGTCTGTATATACTCCTCCATCATGGGAAGGCTGTGAATACCTTGGAGCTGGGCACTTGACTCAAAACAGGTGGCAGCTGGAGGGGAAAGAGAATGAGGCAAAGATTGAAGCAGGTGACAGTGTAGAAAATGGAGATGAGTGATGGTACAGTTCAAGATTTGTAGGTATTACAAGACTAGGCTGATGAGTTGTTTGGGGTGGATAGGTGAATGGTCTTGGTGTCTGAAGGGGCTGGCAGGTATGGATCAGCTCTTTCTTCCCTTTAAAACTAGTGAAAAGGAGAAAGCCAGGAAGAAAAGGGTTAAAACTCATAGGCTCTCTACTAAAAAGCCACTGCAGCAGCTGTGGGGATTGCACAAAGAAATCGGCACCTGGGTACCTGCAGCCCTTGAGATAACAGATGAATAGAGGGGTTTATGTGATGGCAATATTAATGGGCCATGGAAACAGCACACACCTGGGTTTCTGGAGGGCAAAAATAGCAAAGAGGGTAGTGGAAGAGTGGGGGAAGAGAAAAATAGAAATTTGTGATGGATTATTTGGTGAAAGCAGGGGGAAAAATGTCTAAGGTGAAGTTGTGCTGCCCTGCTGCCTTTGAAATCAGTAGCTAAACAATTATTTGCTTCAGCAGTACAAAAATCTTGCACTTCGTGCTAATTAGAAAATGTGTGGACATGGTAGCTTGGATTTTTTTGAGGGGAGCTAATGTTTGAAAACAGAAAAAAAATTTACAATTGTTGTCTTCAAGCTGGCTTTCATCTAAAAAGTTATATTAAGAACTGGACTTTCTATATTAAACATGGCTTAAATCAAAATTTGCTGTTTCCTGTTCAGAAATTTTATTTTTTCGATCTGAAAAATTAGGGTTTTTTTCTCTTTTACAATTTTGAGTAAAAATCCAAGACCTTTAAATGTGAACACCTGTAGTCAAAACCCTGTCATGGTGTAACCAGGGCAAACACACCAATTTCAGATTCTTGTTT